TTCTTCTTCTTCTTCTTCTTCTTCTTCTTCTTATTCTTCTTCTTCTTCTTCTCTTGCGCAGTCTGCTCTACAGTAATAACCTCGTTTTCCCTTTCTCACCTCAGGCGACCGATCAGGTAGGCGGTGGCCTGTTGCTAGCGATGGAGGAGAGAGGTCGACCCTCCTCAGCGAATTCCCCCCCTGAAAACAATGTGATGCGCTTGAAACTATCACGGTGCGCTAAGAGTCGTGGCCTAGAGGGTTGCTAACGGACGGGATAACTTGGACACTGCAGTCGGCCCGGTGTGTGTGTCTTGTTGCATGGAGCGGCGGCTTACTGCGGACTGAGAGTCAGGCTCAATTGCTCCTTTTTAATGCGGCCTTTTTGGCGCACCCAGGCGGGAGCCTTCCTGACGAGGTGTGCTGGCCTTCTGGACATTGTCTTGACATCGAATTCAGGTGCGGTAGTCAGAGGATTGAGGTAGATCTGTTGAGTCTACTTTACCTGTGATCCAGCCGCAGTCATCGCGTTGCTTCAGCTTGCTGAAGCTCCTGTTGAACATCGTCGAAAGCGACGGTCGAACTGTCGTGTATGTACAGCATATGACCTAACTCAGGCACTGTCATGATGGGAATATGAGTAAGCAGGTAGGCGTATGTCTGGTTTTGTTATTTTGATCTGTTTGGTCAATGGAAGGGGCCATCTTCATAAGAAATTATAGTCAAACATTCACTTCTTCAATAAATGCTTTCAATAAATACCTTATTTTGTAGGTTTTGATAAACACACTAAACAGAATTAAAATTTATAGAAAAAGGCTTTGCATGCTTTTTCAACTTCGAATCGACGACCACGCAAAATACGCCTCATTAATGCGAAGAAGCTGTAGTTAGGTGATGCAGCATGTGGACCGAAGGCCAGGTGTGGAAGAAACTTGGCCCCATTCAATTTTTGGACGTTTGCTGAGTGTTTTTCGAAAGTGAGAGTAATGCATAGTACTTTTCTTTGACCTTTTCGTTTTGCGCGCCTCCTTAGGTTGTAATGACTAGCTCCACACGAAGTGCACTTGGAAACACTTGTTGTGACTAACTCAAGTCGAAGTGCACTTTGGGAACGCTTGCTGATTCCGGCCTCTGGAACAGCCAATCGCAGGCTGACTCACAGAGGGCCTCATGTGACGACTGCCAAGCAGACATCACTTCGGACGCCGTCCGCTGGCTTGCGGTTGTGTTGACGTCAAGGAATTAATTTCATACTCCCTACTCTCCCATTAATTATGTACAGAATATACTCTTCCTACCACTGTGGCCTTCGCATGACTTCTAATCTCCTAAGGAACCGGGCCTGAAGACCGCAGTTGCCAGAGTTTAATTTACTTAACCCCATGCGATAATATATTTTCTCTGACTGACAGGAGAGCTGCAGCGAACACCTTTTGCTACCAGCTGAGGAAAGCCGATGCGAAATTGTCCTTAGAGCTGGTCGCTTTTCACCCTAAAATTATATTCCAAGTTTGACTGAGAGTAGGCTGAAAAACCAAGAACATTATCAAAAGTACAAGCAAGTCACTCCTTAAAACTTTCTAGGGTTGAGCACAACGCAATTCGTGCCTCTTGTCGCAGACAATGGAGAATGTAGTCCTCGGAGGCCGGCTTCGCAAAGTCATAAAGCCTAAAGCTCATTGGTACTTCCGGCCTTTGTAAATCCACCAGATCCATCTGAATCCTGGCTTTGCGACTTTCCGCTTCGACGTCATCCTTGAAGTAGAGTAGTTGGGCCATTCTGGAAGCCTTGGCCTCATACGCTGGATGACGGTTCTCCGTCATCACCATCTCCTTATCGCTGGTATCGTTTTGAGGTCTCCGTCGGAAAAAGTAACAACAGCAACATCTACAGCATGGTTTGTCATAGTCGATTTCCGGCTTTTCCTCTTCCTCCTCTTCCTCAATCTCTTCATTGCCATCCCCTCTTTCACCCCCTTCTCTCCCTTCTTCAAATTCCCCTCCTTCTCTTTCTCCTCCTCCGCCTTCGTCTTCTACTCCTCCCTCTCCTTCTTCGCCGTCTTCTTCTTGGTTTTCGTCATCCTCATGTGGATTTACGACACTATCAATTGGATCCGGTTTTTCTAATTCATTCTCATCATTTTCATACCGTCGTACTATCCTATTAGCCATGAGGATGATGCTAAGGGTCCTGGAAGAAGAGAGTAAAAGAGAATCCACATGGGCTTCTGTGTCACGTGGGCTGAT